CACAATTGAAATCTTGAGGTGTTCATATAGAAGCTACACAAAGGAATTTAGTATGGATTTTGATATTACTATACAGTTTTTGTAATTGAGAAAGAATTTCGTCATTTGCATTATATAATATTGGATTTCAAAATTAATATTTATTATAGATATTATAAAAAAATGTTTTTGGGGAACAAAAAATTATTAACTTTTCATAAAAGTACACACTGATAAATTACTTAAATATAATCCAAAAATTAATAATCAATAATTAAAAATAATAACATAATTTTGTATCAAGAGTATCTTACCTTAGATAATAAAAATAGTTTGATTGAAAGTTGAAACGTCCGTTTAAATGCTCTTAGGTTACTTAATAAATGAAAAATGATTTAAGTATAATCTATTACACACACGCACACATACTCACACACACATATATAATATATATTATATATTAGCGTTATAGTGTTGTATTACATCGATGAATAGGCACTATATGTTTATGCATGATTAAAGAAATGTTACTAAACGATATGGTGTCGCCGGCATTACTTTATAATGAAATACAAGCAACAGCTGTAAAATTAAATTTGCATTTTACACAGGGTCAGAGACCATTGATATAATTTATTACTGTTTATCACCATTAGCAATGCCACCACGAAAGAACTTAATAATTCAGTTACCAAAAGTTCACGGAGAAATATTGGCGAGTCATGTGTTTCAAAAAATAAGCCACGTTTACTTGCAATAAAACATGTTTTATATGAATTATGATAAAATTAAATTATAGCTAGATATTAAGTAGGTACCTACATTTTTTGTKTCTACTGATATAGTGATATACGATTGGATAAAAGGTTAAGCCACTTCGAGATTACAATTATTTTATTCTATAAGCTTTTAGCTAAAGCTTTTTTGTTTTGTAATCACTGTGAGAAATCCATTTTATTGTTTTGAATAAGGTTTTAAATCACATATCCTAATATGAATTTGATTCCCATGTACGTGTTGTTGTATTAATTCGATAATAATATCCTAATGTATAACAATGATATATTTTATTATATGATGAAATTATTAAAAAACGAAAAATCTTAAGTGTATTAATCTAAAAGTGTAATTTAAATGGTATTTTTACAGCATAATCGAATTATCTATTTTAAAGGTAGGTATAGGCATATCGCATATGTAGATACATCAATATGAATTTTAGTCTTAAGAATACGTGATACCCGCATGTGTAGTCTTCTCCTTAAGTGCATTATCTAGTAAATTTTACGTTCAGCAGAACACGTGTAGCTGCGTTAGCTTAAAAATTAGAGTGAACTGACCTCTTATAAAATTTAAAGGCAAGATTATTATCTAGACAACCTCATATGCTTTTTATTATATATTAAATTTAAAGCGAGTTATGAGTATTTTAAAATTGTAAATTTTTTGTGAATCTTAAAATACTCATAACTTACTTTAAATTTAATATATAATAAAAAGCATATGAGGTTGTCTACATAATAATCTAACCTTTAAATTTTATAAGAGGTCAGTTCACTCTAATTTTTAAGCTAACGGAGCTACACCTACACGTGTTTTGCTGAACGTAAAATTTACTATATAATGCACTTGTATGGAGGAGACAACACATGCGGGTATCACGTCCTATTAATATTGATCAGAGGGCCAGAGTGAAGACAATTCATAGATTACTTGAATCATACCTATTTCATCTATAGATGAAATAGGTGTAATAGGATCACATCACTTGAACTGTTACAACTATTTGATTCTCGATTGCAACATCAAGTTTGCAAGAGTTATATAAAAATTATACGAGATGATTATTATAAATACAAGAGACTACCTAGAACAAATTTAAACAAATGCTCAAAAATATTATAGTAAACTATTTTATCTCAGTCGTTCATAAAATTAAATTTGTTCTAGGTTAGTCCCTTAGTTTTTTTAATAATGTCTTTGTATAATTTTTATATTTCTTGCAGACTTGGGATTCCTGATAATCAAGATTCAAAAAGTTGTAACAGTTCAAGCGAAGCGATATATACACCTAAATGGCTATATATATATATAACACGCAAGTAATAAAGATTAATTTTTATTGATTGGCTTTCTAGGCTATAGCTCGGGGYGAAATTATTTATTGAGAAGTAGAAACAAAATATGAATTGACCTTTTATTATGTTTTTTTTTTTGTTCATCCAACAGATGGGAAAAATATCAACCTATGGGTGGTTAGAAAACTGTATTCTTTCCCTTACATAAACAGCGTAAGTTGTTTTTAAATACCTCAGATAGTCAGTTATACCAAGTATGTGTATGAATATAAATATATATAGTATATCTATCTATAGGGTGA